AAAGAAGACCCACAGCTAAAGCTTGCCACCATTCTAGTGGGGCTCCACTCAGAAGGTAGGATCTAACTGTCCCTTAGACTGGTTGGTCATAAAGTGTGACAGGGTGAGGAGAGGCTGCATAAAACCATCCTACCAAGCCCATCCCCTTCAAAAACTCTTCCTCCTCTGAAGATCTCCATTGGGAAGTCAGATTCAACAGAAAAACATTTTTATGGAGCCAAGTATGAATAATTCCCCATCTCAGCCACCTAAAAAGGGACAAAAGGTGATCCCTATCTAAAATCACTAATTGACTTATCTGACTTTGTAGCAGTAAGTTCTCAGAAAGCTCCATAAGACTATGAAAGTCCCTTGCAGAGAGGGTCTCTTCATTTGATCAGTTAAATCATTCCCTCAGAAACTACTGCTCCAGTGACTCATCAGGTTGCTTGCTTGAAATTCCCTAGTAATCTACAAAGCTTTTTTTTTTTTTTAATAAAAACTGGTACACCTCTTAGTCCTCTAGTAGAGGGAATCAGTCTGGGGTGCAGTATTAGGGTAAGCCTGGAGCTATCTTATCATCAGTGGGAGTATTCAAATGTCTTCCTAATAACTATTCTCATGCTCCTCTTACAGCTCTGATTTCAGAGGAATACAGTGTAACTCCTGGGTCAGGTCCAAAAGCTCCGAGCTGCAGACCACTGGTTTCCAATCCCTTCAGGAGGGCTCCCTTCACATATGTGGACCCCAGATTAATTAGCTTACCCGTGGCCTTCAGAGCAGTTTGTGTACTACACATACGATGCACATAACTGAAATCTCTGTTTCTAGTTATTCAATACCGTGGGCCAGTTTACTTTTAATCTTCTTATACTAGCAATCCAGCTTCTGCTGGATGGCAGAACTTCTGCTGCAATGACCAATAATAACCAGGGAACGCTGGACCTTTTGCTATCAATACCCCCCTGTCAGTTTCCTCTAGCATTCATTGAGTTACTGTTCTGCATCAAGAGTCTACTCTGTTCCACTGAAAGGACTCTCCACATATGATCAAAAGAACCCTAACGATCATGAATCACTGAGAGGTATTTGGCCATCCAAACACCCCACACTTTGGATTTGCAGTGCCTTTCTCTCATCTCAGCCATAATGTGAGCCACTGGGCAATCTTGACCCAAGTATCAACTCCACCAAATTAGTAATGAGCATAATGCTAGCACTCTGTTGTTCAGTCGTTTCAGTCCTGTCTGACTCTTTGTGACCCCATTTGGGGTTTTCTTGGCAAAGATACTAGAGTGGTTTGCCATTTCCTTCTCCAGTTCAATTTACAGATGAGGAAACTGAAGCAAACGGGGTTCAGTGACTTGCCCAGAGTCACATAATAAGTGTCTGAGTCCACATTTGAACTCAGGTCTTCCTGAGTTCAGTCTATGTGTGCCACCTAGTTGCCACTAGCACCTTGTTAGTTCAGGTTCAATTTGGGGATGAAATAAGTCATTAAACAGTTAAAAGGTTTACTTTGCCCCAATACAACAAGAATATGCACCAAGGATACAATGACACTTAGCTTCAGCTTTGGTAGATGTGGTCTCCCTTGACTCCTTACGGAAAAAGGTCTGGTGAAGAGGTCAGAATACAGTAACTCAAGTGATACTCAAGTAGTACCCACCAAGTCTGAGAGGCCCAGACTCCAAGAAAAATAGGACTGTTTACATACTTCAATGATCAGAAAGCTGTATGAAAGGAATAGGAGCCAATCATCTGAGGAAATTTTGTCTCCTTTTAAGGAAAATGAATCTCTAGGAAAGGTAGGGTGTGGAGAAGAGGGTGGGGAAGAATGAATACCGTGAAGTAACCAATACTGTGAAGTCTGGGGGAAGGCAAAGGCCTGACCCATGTTATGGGGGAAACATGATAGATATTAGTCCCATTATATATAGTTGTAGTTTGGATTTATTCCCTTGGGAACTGCTGGTATCCTGCAATCATTTAGCAATTAGAAATGGCTTATAGTCACAAATTTCTATCAGTTCCTTGTATATCTTAGAAACAAAACCTTTATCAAATAAATTTGCTGCAAAGATCTTTTTCTTCCAAGTTAATTTTCCCTCTATTTTTGACCACATTAACCATGTTTGTACAAAAATGTTACAATTTTATATAATCAAAATTGTCTAATTAATCTTTTGTGATCATTGCTCCTTGTTTGGTCATGAATTCTTCCTATTTGATTATATGGTTTTTATCCCCTATTCTACAGTAAATTTTTGTAAAAGTGTCATGCACAGCTTAGAAACATATATCCTTCCCTCTAATCTGAGGCAGCCAGGTGGCACAATATTGTATGGCTACTTGTTTTTTTCTTTGACCAGGAAACTGGACTTCTGCTTAGACATTCCCAAGAGTTTTCAATTTGGAGATTCTTTCAATGGGTGATTAGTTTTTTAAACTCCTGTTCTACTTCTAGAAACTCTAAATGATCTTTTGACCAAGATTCTTTAGGGTTGTGCTTATAGGTGTGCTGGAGTCATTCTTCTGAGTTTGTATCTTGGGTACCCTGACCATAATAATTCTAGCTTTTTTGTTTACTTATTCTTCCATACTTCTTATATTGAGACTTTGGACAGGGCTAGGCACTGAGCATTTCTGGTGAGACCATCATGGCCTTGTATGATCCTGGTTTGTCTTACCTATTGTTCAAGTGATAGAGCTGTGGTCCTGACATTCACCCAGTGTCTAGGTCCTAGACTTCATCTCCTAGGTTACAGAAACAACCACGGCCCTTTCCTCCTAAAAGGGTCTGGATACAAGATCCCCTTCTCCTGGTTAAGATAACAGCATTAGATTCTCACACTACTACTTACTACAGCTCCTAAGTTTAGAGGCCATGCCTGGGGGAATAGTACAAGGTCCCTTCTCCCTGGTTAGAGAGATAGAACTCTCTGTCCAGGGACTGAGTCCTAAACCTCAAATCCACCCTCTGGGGATCAGGAATAGCTGCAACAGTTACCAAGGCCCTTTTCTTCACTCGGGAGCTGAGTCCAAGATACCTATTATCCTGCTTCTGTATCCAGCATCTGGTTTCATGATCCTGTCCTGCCCTTGTTCCTCATTTCCGGCCCTTGGTCATTTGCTTGTGGGTTGAGTTTTTGATCTTCTGCTGATGACCCACTGTAGCTTCTCCTTAGATTTCAGATTACTACTCAATCTCATCTAATCAACAAGCATTTACTAAAGGCTTATATTACTATGTGCCGGGCACTGTGCTAAGCACCGTGAATACAAATAAAAGCAAAAAGCCCTCAAGGGTCTTACATTCTAACTGGGAAGACAAAACATGAAAGCAAGCTGAAAGGGAGGGGAAGGTGAGGAGAAGGGACTGGCATAGGGCATACTAAATCCAGTCTGGTGGAAAATAAAGAGCCTGTGCCATCTGGCAGTCTTCTGAGACTTTTGTTCATGTAACTGTGGGGGACCTGAATTGCACTGCTTCCTCTTACCTTATCCCCTTGGCTGCTTTCTCCACTAGGTGCTTATCCCACAATGTAGCACTTTACTTAAATTTGTCAAACTTCTTTAGAAAATAGAAACAGTTTATCTTAGCAATCTATTTCCCATTTTTAAGCAGCAACAACTTAAATAGATTAGGTTGTACCTGCCTCAGTTTCAGGCCATTGCTTTTCATGTTTAATTCTTTCTTTTGGTTTGGCATTGACTTTGACCTTTGCTCTGATAGGTCAGTAGCCTGATTCTACAGAGACAGTTGATTCAAAAATAACTCCCCCGTTGGCAAGCAGTAGTTTTCTGTCTATTTAAATAAACTGAATTTTAATTTTAGTGTTATTTGGTACCTACAATGTTGAACATTTCCCAATTCTCTTCATGAAGAAAATATTTATGTAAGTCTTCTGTTTAATCCTGAATCATGCTTTCCATCATTATTTTTGCCACTCTCCTTATTTATTTACCTTATCTTTTCACTGGAGTTACCAAATATATACTAATTTAACTTTATGGTATCATGAATTTTTTCATAGAATTTTTAAAATTTCTGTTCCTATAAGTGGCAATTATGGTGGTCTTCTTATAAATGTTTATCTGCGCACTGCAAGATAACCAAATATTCCATGCAGTAATTCTCTTGTTGGCTCAGGACACATGATAAAAACCAATTGCAGCAACTCCTTCACTTGCTTCAAGGAGAACGGAGTCATGCTGTTATTTTACTTCAACTTCCTTTTGTCTTCTGACTTTATTTATAATAAAGATGTCAAGATTGCTATGATTCAATTCCTCTGGTAGTATTATCCACTTAATGGTCAATGGATAACCATATGTAAGAAACCAACAGCTAAGATAATTTTTATTATAGACTGCCTAAAAAGGTTGGGATTCTTAGCACTCTCTGGCACTTTGTCCAACACTGTCACCATCACATTTGGAAAAGTGCCCCAAAGTACTATGGCCATTTTAATTTTTTATTCATTTCAGGGATTGCTATGGCCAAAGAATTCATCACACCAAGTGGCTGTCATCACACCAAGTGGCTGGACTACTGGTGAGAGCTTCTCCAGACTTAGTGTAGCTTTTTTCTTTTAAACTTTTTTTTTCATTGAAAATAGATAAACTCTAGTGAGGAACATGAAAGAAGTCTTTGCAGCATGATCAACGTCAGAATCTTTTTTGTTCAATAAACAGCAGTACTTAAGATGTTAAATTTAAAAATTTTATTTGGAAGGTTTTAATAACTACCTAGAAATAATACATATTAAATTATGCTTGTACTCAAGATTAGTCAATATATTATTTAACTGGTCTGGATATTTAAAGTTCATTAAAACAAAGGAGGCTTTAAAAGTAACTGATATGGTTAGATTGATTACAAACTAGCAACTAAGCATGATCTTGACAGTAGGAACTATCAAGAGGAGTTTCATGTAAAAATAAAACAAAGCATTTCAATTCAACATTTATTAAGAACTTACTATACTCATACTTTCAACATTTATTAAGTACCTACAATATGCAATGCATTGTGCTAAGCACTGGCATTATCTCATTGAATTTACAGTCTAGTAGTAATGAAGAAAAATATACTTATTGCACTTACCCACATAAGGTATATGATGGTTTCATTCAAGTCATAAATTAATCTATGATTAAGGACAATGTAATCTACATCTCAAGTTAAACTAAAGGTCAATGTAAAATAAGAATATGTAATAATTAGCATGGCCACAAATGTGTTAAGGCAATTTTGAGTGCATATAAATACCACTGGAAACCAATTTTCACAAAGGACTACTGTGGTAGTCCAGAATAAACAGGGAACAGCTGGCTTTAATATCTGCAGTCTTCATCTTCATCACATAAAGATTTTAACTGTCCAGAAATTCAGATTGCATAAAACTCTACAGTCCAAGTTCTTTGTTCAGCATCTTCTTTTCCTCTTAGGTACTGAAAGGCATAAGAAAATTTAGAAGTTCAATAGGTTTAAATAGATGGCACCAGAAAACAAACAATGCTTCCTGTACTATCTATAGTTTCATTTTATTAGGGCCCAAAAATAGGAAGATAAGTATATTTATTCTGATAACTGACAGCTGGCTCCTTGAGTACTTTTACTTCTTTATACTATACATAAACTACATGGCTTAAATACAGGTTTTTAATTTCAATACTGAAAATATTAAATAACAGTACAGAAAGAAATTTTCTAACCTCAATCATATTGGTTTAAGAATATAAGAAATTACAACTCTAATCTGCAAATGAAATTTTCCTTCAGAATGACTCTAGAAATTCAACATTTATGTTGAAATCTAGTCATCCAAAAAATGTATGTTTAGGTGAAAGGCTACTCTAAAGTTATATTAGAAGAGTTTGTGCATTAAAATGGAAAATTCTGAAACACAAGAGTAAAGAATATGTAAACATTAGGGTTCTTCAGTGGTTTTGTGTGTGTGTGTGTATGTGTATTTGCCTAACCAAACAAACCAGGAGCTCTAGGAAACAAAAAAAAAGGGGGTGGGAGAATAAATATTTATTATTAATTATTATTTATTTACTATGTGTCAGGCACTGGGTTCAAATACCTCATAACCCCTACTAGCTATGTGACACTGGGCAAATTACTTAATCTCTATTGGCTTCAGTTTCCTCTGTAAAATGAGGGAGGTTGAACCAAAGGTTCTCAAAGGTCTCTTCTAGCTCTAATCCATGATCCTATGTTGGTTTAATATTATAAAAACTATAAATATAACAGATCATATTGGTAACAAAAACAGTAAGAAACACAACAATCAACTGATACAGAAAAAGCTTTTGGCAAAATACTATATCCCTTTATGTTAAAAATATTAAAAAGAATAGGAACAAATGGAATATTCTTTAACATGCTAAACTAACTACCTAAACTAAATAGCTAACATTATCTATAACAGAAAAACACTAGAGACCTTTCCAATAAATCATTCCATTGTCATCACTAGTATTTGGCACAGCTCTAGAAATATCAGCTTTAGCAAAAAGACAAGAAAAAGAAATTAAGGGAATAAGCATAGACAAAAAGGAAACAAAATAACGATTCTTTGCAGACATGATTTTTTTACTCAGAAGAACATAAATTTCAACTAACGATTACTTGAAAAATTTCTAACTTTAGCAAAGCAGGGGGGCATAAAATAAAGCAAAGCAGGGGTGCATAAAATAAACCCACAAAAACCAACAGCTTTTCTGTATTATCAAAAAAACTCAGTAGGAGAGATAGAAAAAGAAATTCCATTAAAATTAGCACAGAATGGAGAGTACCCCTACTAAGATACAGAAAGAATTATATGAGTTCAACTACAAAACACTGTAAGAATAAAGATAAGCCCAAATAATTGGAAAAATATTAACCACTCATGGTTGGACCATGCCAATATAATAAAAATGGTAATACCTGAACTAATTTACAGATTCAATGCTATCCCAATCAAACTACCCAAGGGTTACTTTATAACTAGAAAAAATAACAACAAAATTCACCTGGAGACATAAATACAACCCAAAGGAAAAAAAAAATCCCAGAGAAATTCAAAAAAGAGGAAAAGCATTCATATGCATAAAATATTTATGACAGTATTTTTTGTTGTAGCAAAGTCCTAGAGACCAAGTGGATAATCATAAACTGGGAAATGATTAACAAATCATGGGATATGAAGGTAAAATTGCATCATAAAGAAAGGATGAAAGGGACAGATTCAGAGAAACCTACGATATGAACTGATAGAGAGGGAAGGAAGCAGAATCGGGTGCACCATTTACGTAATGACTATAATAGGGCAGCAAGATGGTGTAGTGGATGGAGTACCAGTCTTGGGGTCAGAAACACTCCTCTCTCTGAGTTCAAATCTGGCCTCAGACACCTACTGGCTATGAGACCCTAAGCAAGTTACTTAGCCCTGTTTGCCTCAGTTTTCTCAACTATAAAATGAGCTGGAGTAAGAAATGGCAAACCACTCTACTGTCTTTCCCAAGAAAACCCCAAATGAGATCAAGAAAAGTCAGAATACAACTGAACAATAGCAACAACATAATATGGCAAGGGAAAACTATGAAAGACTTAGGAAAGTTAATCAATGTAATGACCAGTTATAACTCCAGAAGACTGATAATAAATCATGTTTCCCACTTTTTGGCAGAAGTGATAGGCTAGAGGTTAGATTGAAATATACATTTTCAGATCCAAACAATGTGGTAATTTGTTTTGCTATACAAAAAAAAAAAATGTTTTTTGAAGGAGGGAGAGGGGAACAGTGATGCCAAGAAAAAGAAGAGACAAATATTTTAAAAATAGAGAAGAGAGCAGGAGAGTTCAGAAGGTGATACAACCAAGTAGGGCAGTTTTGGTACTACCATGTTTAATTTTATAGTATGACCTGTATAGAGATTTAGTTTTATATACAATCATCTTTTTCTATGCTTCTTTGTACCAGGAAATGTTTATGTTTACTGGCGTTTGTCAAGTTCATATATTAAAAGGTTCCTTTTGAACCCTTCCTCTGGGCATCCCAAACATACCACCATAACCAAAATTTCCAACCCCCTATAGAATCCGTACAAGTCAGAAGTCTACTCCCACCACCATCAGAGATGCTGCTGCTATTCTGAAATCTCCTGCCAATAATTCCTACTCAAGGACCAAAGGGAAAAAGTCCTAACCCATACGGATCCCAAACCGCTGCTATCAGTGTCCCTGTAGGAATCTCTACAGACCAAAGTACCAAGAGAAATGCTGCTGAAAAACTGAGAGTTCCCAATCACAGTGGATTAGATTAGGAAGTTCTTATACTTGAAACCAGAGTCATTATGATATCCCATCCCAGGAATATCTAAAGCCCTAGTACCTGGTATCAGAAAAGTGGAAGACAAGAAAGTTACTCTGCTAGGTTTAGGGAGAGAATAGGGTGAGGAAAGAGTTCTTCCTTAAAGTCTCAGAGAAAAGAGATATCTGTTTCTGATGTCATAGTTATAACCCCCTACCCGTCCCCAGAAACAATGGTATAGATCATGATTGGGTTTAGGATTGAGCTATATTACAAATTAAGTAAGTTTTCATGAAGTACTGTAGAAATCTAACCAACATTAATAATAGGCTTTCTATAAGGAAATAACAATAGGTCACACAGTGTACTTTTACATAAATTAACTCAGGTGATTTTATAACAAGCCTATGAAACAGACAGTGCAAATACCATTCATAGTTTATAGTAGGGGAAACAGGGTCAGAGAGGCTCAGTGGCTTGAGCTTCCGTCTCCAGAGGTCAGGCCTAGCTTTCTGCTTTTTTCTTTTCCTTTTCTGCTTTTCTATCTACTGCCTCCCAAAAAACAACATTCCAAATGACAAACAACAGGCTGAGAAACAGACCTCTGAGACACATGTAACATTGGAAACTGCTGGTACAGACAACAGAAAGACAAGGCTCATCACTAATTTAGAAGCCACCCTCCAAATATGCCACCTGAATATCTCAGAATCAGGGGAGAAGAACTGGGAACAAAGATCCTAAATTGAGGAGAATAAATTCTAAGAGTTCAGAAAGAGCAAAATATCCTATTCTATAGGTTCATGGTCTGAAATTCTACAGACAGCTGAGCAATGGAAAGAAAATCTGGGTTCAGGAGGCGGAGCCAAGATGGCAGAGTAAAAGCAGTGACTTGCTTGAGCTCTTCCCCAAACCCCTCCAAATACCTGTAAAAAATGGCTCTAAACAAATTCCAGAGCAGCAGAACCCACAAAAAGGCAGAGTGAAACAAATTTCCAGCCCAAGACAACCTGAATGGTTGACTGGAAAGGTCTGTTGTGCTGGACTAGGAGAGGAGCACAGTTCAGTGTGGGCCACACAGTCAAAAACCAGGCCTCAGCAAACCTGGAGCAGGCCTCAGGGGACTGAATCAAGGGGAGCTATGGCAGTTTCCAGACTTCTCAACCCACAAACACCAAAGACAACTTAGAAGATCAGTAGGAAAGGTCTGTCAGACCTCTTTGAGAGAGATGCCCAGTCTGACCCCAGGCCTGGCAGAGCCCCAAGGGCAGTGGCTGTGCTTCTGCAGCCCATAGACAGAGGAGGAATCACATGGCTGATCAGAAGGGGGATTGCAGGGATCTCTTTACTGGTGCTGAAGCAGGATTCTCTTGCTTTGCCCATGCTTGGATCTGGGTTGCAGTCCTGGTTGGTGGTCCTGGGGCAAGGGGGAGCACTGGCGTGACGCAGCTTGTGGCAGCGGTGGAGCGGTTTCACAGTTCCAAGGCAGAAAAGAGTGCTTGTGGTCACTCACTCACCACAGCACAGGCCAGAAAGGAATAAACACCTTGCCTTTGATCATACCACTTCGTTAGAACTGAAAATTTATAGGTCCCTAGAAGTATCTCTGAAAACAGCTGTACAAAACCCCTGAATCTTGGGACAGTACATACTCCACATTGGAAGCAGACCCCCTACCTTAACAAAGAGTTTAATAGTCAAGTAATTGGCTGGGATCATGAGCAAACTGTGCAAAAGTCAGACCATAGAACCTTTCTTTGGTGACAAAGAAGATCAAACAATACAACCAGAAGAAGACAACAAAGTCAAAACTCCTACATCCAAAGCCACCAAGAAAAATATGAATCAGTCCCAGGCCATGGAAGAGCTCAAAAAGGATTTTGAGAAGAAACTGGATTCAAATGTCAATTCAATGAGTTACTCTGTATGTAATAATGAATAAGTCACACCCTCTGTTTCCTCATCTGTAAAATAAGGGTAGACTAGATTATTTTGAAGGTCCCTTCCAACTCTAAATCTACAAACAATAAGCTATAACAGGGTTAAAGTTAACAGCTTCTGAGATCCTTTTCAGCTCTAAATCTATTGTAACTTCCTTTGTCAAAAATATGATAAAAAAGTACACTTTCTTCCCCCTTAAGGCATAGA